GGACATTGCAAATCCAAAGCCGAGTCAGAAATCTGTTATTCGGTTACTGCTTGTCTTTATCGAGGAGTACTGTACCGAAGCTCTTCAATGGATGGCGACCCAGCTAAAGAATCTGGACGAGCTGCGCTCGACCATACCAGAGGAGACGTACATTTCCATGACTGACGAAATATACTGTGAAGCATCCGCTATCTGCCGTGAATTGCAGTTTTGTGTATGCGCATCGTGGGGAGAGCTAGTTCTGGCTCCACTGATGGTTTTTGGTCCCTACTTGTGGTGTCTATTTCTGCCGACGCAATTGGTTGAGTTGTTCCTGCCGGAGCGCCTCCAACTGCCCGGCTTGCTGCTGCTGCTAACCGGTATCACGGTGTGGGCGTATGGTTTACTGGTTCAGTCGGCGCGGACACAGTGGACAACTGCAGTCTTCGTGGGCCGCCGGAAAGCCAAAACAGCACAGCGGACGTGACCGATGACAAAGAACCATGTAACTGCGCCGCCAAGGCCCGCTTTCCTGACAGCAAATTTTCCGAAACTAACCGCTTCGTACTAATAAAAATTAAACAATATATCCCTCCCAAATGAAATGCAGCAGAGCTGGTTAGAGCCGTCCGCGGATCTTTCGTTCGTTACTTATTGCTATTGCAGCCATCACTGTCATTTTATCGCCCCCAGGAAACATCACATGGAGACAAAATAAGATTTAACTGGTAACTTGTTAGGTTTACATTAACAGTATGTCTGATAACAATTATGCGAAACTTTCGAGTTTCGAGCAAGTATCAGATGTTGTTCTTTGCGGGGTTGGAGGTCAATTTAAAATTTGAATCACGTTATTATTGCGGAAGTACTCCTATTCGAACCCAGAGCCATTATTTTTCCGACTAATGATAGAACTTTTGTCGATCCTCGCGATTCTTCAATATCCCCGCATACTGAAATAAGTCGCCAACTGATTCTTGATTAAGAAAAGCTGGCCGTTTTCCTCTCAAATCTCGGTTCTCAATTCTCATTGCCTACTGCGTAATGTACGTACGAGCATTTTCACGAAATAAAGAAACAAGTTTCGTCCCAAACTGGCGCTAATACGCTACTACAGATATGCTTGCGGCTTTCTTGGTCACAAAAACTACGTATCGCTACCCAGAGGCGAATCGAAAAACTGCTTTCTAACTGCAAAAATGCAGCAGCAGGAATATTATTATTGCAATAATATTATTATTTTCAATTTATTTGCACCATTTGGCAATATTATTAACATATGGATTCTTCATGGTAATGGACTGCGCTTCAGGTCAGAATGCCGGCAAAGTTGGGAATGCCGATGCCGACAAACATGATGCTGTTGATGATTTATGCCGGAATAAGGTTGTGTGATGGGTAGAATAAAACTATGTGGAGGGTAAATCGTTGCAGTTACTACAGGTCAGCGGAAACCACTAAACAAATGCCATTTAATAAACTTCAACACTCAAGAGAGGTGGACGTCGTTAGGCATAGAAGTAATGACAGAAGGCAAAGACGGCACTGATTCTTTTTCCAACCTTCGATGAGTTGATTGTTCCAACAAACCTTAGATAAACAAATTACTGCAGGGTCATTCTGCATAAAATTACTAAAAGTTGCGGTCAGATCCTTTTGGAAAAATTACTTTTGTATTTGAAATGGACAAAAACTGTGCGAAAAACGTTTTTGGGAGTTCGGTTAATTATTAACTATGCATTTTAGTATTTCCTCGCTGGCATTTCGCTCGAGCCCGGCCCTTATTATAATGTTATAGAACAAGAACATAGAACATTGTAATAACATAGAACATTATAATAACCAACAAGTCACTTGAAAACTATGTTATAGTTTTAAAGTCACTTAATACTAATCCCTGTGATCAGTCCAGCTGCATGCAGTATACAAGGTACCTGTACAATGTACATATGCGACTTGTGTGCATTATATTAATAAAGCTACTGTATTGCAAAAACTCATTTCTTTCATTCCGCAGTAGTCGAATGCGCTTTGTATTATGCACGAATAGGCATGCGACATTGCAAAGTGCATGGTCTAAGGGCATCCGCCACACTTTATGATGTACGTCTTCTTTAACAGTTACGCAACAACTGTTTTAACTGTTTTAACTTCCCCAACTTTTTAACTTCCCGAAGCAGTTTTAGCTTCCCAAATGTGCGAGCTAAAAAAGCCTGATTATAGTGTGTTACACATTATAGTTTGTCAACTGTAGTGTTTTCAAAACGCCATTACGTTTTCAGTAGATTGATGTGCAATTTTCGTTTCTCAACCGCGTATAGCAAATAAAAGATTGTGATACTTTACACTGTTCCTCCAAATGTCCCACAGTTACTGTTCGCAAAGTTTCCATTTTGTGATTCCAGATTCCATTCTAAGCCGCCGGCAGTGTTAAGCTGCTACCCTAGGTTATTTCTGGAAAGTCGACCGTCAGTGCTACTGCTTTCTGAAGATTTTATTCATACAAACATTGGTCGAACAAACCGGCGATCCTCAGTTGAAACAGCAATCGATACCGGTGGCCGATTCCTTTCCACCATACGTTTACAGTACACAGCAGCAGTGAACGGATCTGTTATGACGCCAGCAAATTACCGTGATTGTATTCTTACAGATACAAGCCCATAGTCGTGTTCTAATGCTGGCAAAGAAGAGCCTGAAAATATCGATTTTTTATTGGGGTCATACCTGGAATCCAACGCTAACGTTAACGTTAAGTTCCAGGTTGAAATTGGACCATGCTAACGCCAGCGCTTAGCAGTTTGCGTCAGGGCTGAACATTGCATAACGCCATTTTACACGATAAACTGGGTGTGCGTTTGTCCCGGGTGGCCTTAGCTTTCGATAGGTCATAAAGTCCAATAATTTGAAACAAATTTTACTATAATGGACATCAGAAAGTCTTTTACTTTTTCCGCAGACAAAGAACGGTTTGCTTCGTATCCCGAAATCTTGACAGAATCGGTGATTGCCCTGTGGTTTGCGTGCGAAATTTGTTTGAAGTTTGGGCTGCGCGTTCTTCCAGAATGGCGAGCCAGTCGGGTAGACCCTGACCGACGCAACGATTTCGATACCCTAATCGAAATATCTGGACTTGTAAGTCTCGCCGTAACATGCAGCAATAATAATAATAGTAATAAAAATCCTATATATTAATAAAATAAGCCTTCGCGAAAAAATCGTCCGCCTTCCTTTTATGAGTTGCACATTTACGATATGTATATGTATATATCATTTGATAGCGTCGTATGCCGTAGTCCAGTTAGTCTTCCGATCGTAGCTATGGTTAACTGATGCGCATAATAAAATGAAATGGTTAACATAAAGAACCATTATCGACCGGAGCGTAGCGAAGGTCCTCTATATTCAAGACCTATGCATTTGTTGATTTCTGTCCGTTACGAAAACCCGTTACGGAAGTTTGTTACGGAAGTTGGTTACGGAAGTTGGTTACGGAAGTGCGTTACGGAATTTTGTTACGGAAGTAACAGTTTCATGTCCCACAGCTGACCGCTATGACGTCACCACTGCCAATGCCTTAACTGCCTGTAACGTCATTGGTGGCTGCCGTGAAACAGCGGGTTTATAAAGTGGTGCTGCAGCTCTTGATTTCTACCCGTAACGGAAGTAACGCTATAATGTCACGGCAATTTAACCACAGTGAAGTTATCGGCTGTTGCTGGATGCTGCTTTGTTGCGGGCCAATAGAAAGACCCCATTTTTGATTTCTATATTTCACTTTAATAATACATGACCTTCGATGCAGATACTGACATATATACATCTGCGTAATGCATACAAGTGACCAGCAGTAAAAATCCCCCGCCTTGAGTTTTACTTTGGACCTTAAGATAATTTTCTGGCCCTCTTAATTGCTGCCATTCTTAGAATAATAGCCCTTTATCATAATGGCGCCCTTGTGGCACTACCACCAGTCACCGACATGGAAACCCGACTTCAAATCAATTTTTAACCTTTTATAAACCACTCATATGCTTCGTGCAAGTGCTTCTGCCCGCTACGGCACACTCGCGGACGAAATACCCTTCGAAAGTGAAATCCCATATTGCAATAGTGTGCTCGTAGCTACAACAGCCGCTTTAAAATTTCTTTTGAAACGTTAATGTTATCTTTAATGTTTCACAAAACTTTAAATTTTGCACATCAGTTTTATTCATCATTCCATAAATTCGCGCCATTTCTAACCAACTAAATTGTGAAAAACCGGAACAATAGCTCATCCCTTCCTCTATTACCGAAGTTGCCTTATAACCCATGGAAATAAATAACCCATGGAAATTTACCTAATAAATTATGTTCTTCTTGAATATTTCTTTTGAGACGAACCTTTTCAATTAAATGCCGTTTCCAACAAACAAAATTACGAGAAAAAAGTCGCCTTGCAGCGTGTGTTTACATAATAATTTTTTACGATGTCCTTTTTCCGTTATTCGACTACATACCTGGTGAGAAGCTATATCGCAAAACTAGCGCAAATTTCACTTAGGTCTCGCTCCGGTTTGTCAATGCACGCCAAAGTGCATTTTTCTAGTATAACGTTTATTTTTCAAACACTGTACTTCGCCTACTCGTGGTCACAGCGATCACGGGGTTTTGCACGAATGAGGCCACCAGCAAGTTCTTTTTTGCAAACCTCTTGCAGACGGTGTACGGCGTTTTGCCATATAACCTACGAAATAGCTGAACCGAACAGGATTAACACGGTTACAACTTACAACCAGATTGATCTGCTAAAAGAAATGTAAATGTTTAATCGTTTAACGTTTTCTCAGATTTTCTTAGGTTGTAAGAAGAGTTAAAAGCGGGAAACAATTCAGAACCAGAAACTGTTTCAGTCAACTTTCAGGAAACGTACAAGTAAAATCAGTTACCTGAACAACAGCGGGTATGCAGCTCTCTCCAGCATCAAAAACGTCGGTCTTCTTCACAAAGAAACGAGCTAGGGCGTTCAGCAACTATAAACACATAAATCAAACCATTAACGTGAAATAGTATGCGTACAGTAATGCGTACAATACTACGCAAAATCTCTTTTATTCGGTTAACGCTGGCTTCTGGGATGATGTCATGTCGGGATGGATACAGCCGCATCCGATCACCGTTAACGATTCGACACCGCATAGGCTGGATGTTGCGCACCCTGCGGCGACGACTATGGTTCTCGGTTACTTGGCCACCTGTGCGACCATCATTCTTACAGCAATCCTCAGCATCTCCTTCTTTTACCTGGTAGCCGCCAACCGCCACTGGGCGTATCCCAAATCAGAGGACCATCTGCCACACTGTCGTGGGTTGGCGGTGTTTGCCCGGTACGTTCGAGTGGTCGCGAAAATTCGTTTGCCTGTGTATTTAATGACTACGCTGTATGTGGCTATCGGCATGGTCAGCGTCGTCGCTTGTTATGGTGGATGGATAATCTTGAACGTTCTACCGATGGTTATTCTGGGATGGTTGTCACTGACACTGACCATCGCTGTATTTGGACCAACCGCGGTGTTCCCTGCCTGTATCCTCTTCGCTAGTATACTGACCGTTTATTGCACCGGTCGGATTTGGGGATTGTGGATGAATGACACCTACTTAGCTGTGCTTAAAAAGGGATGCAGGTAAACATTCAAGCGATCGGTAACGAACTCTCTAATTGCAACTATCCGGTTCGTATACGTGTGATTTATTTCACAAGACCGAACCCCTCTATGTAATATACGAACAATATTAGAAGCTACGTTTGTTATTATTCTTTGATGTGTAAATTTCGAATCGTTTTAATTATTGTCTATCAGCCCATGCTTTTTGTAATTGGAACGGGAACTGCTAAATAAAAGTTTTAATATTCGAGCCACTAGAGCTCTCGTGTCGGACACAAGAACATTTTTGGCTTTGCTCTTGGTGTTTGTGCCGCTGTACTTGTGCTTCCAGTTTTCATACAAGTCGGAATGTAATGCATGTACGGTAAACTGTACTACTAACCAGGGGCCGGTCAGAAGTGCCCCCTCCGAAAAATTTCGTTTTTTGCTAGAAGACGGAGTAGGCAGAAGGAACACTTCTAAAAATAGTTTCACCGGCAATGGTCCAGTGGGCGTGGCCAAAACCAGTTCAAAGGAAATCGTGTATGTATTAGCATATTAAGTGTACTGCTCAGTTACCATATTAAGTTATCCTCTTTCGCTGTCGAGCGGTGAAAATATATTTTCCGGTCATAACCGCTTGCATTGTAAATTTTCCCAACACTTTTTTCAATATCGTATAACCGGCTTGGTCATATAAAACGTTTGTCGTGTTTTTGACTTATCGGCTTAATATTCACCATTTAATTTAATGCTGCTACAATATTTTGTGTGTTGATATGCAGGTACGTATTTGCTGTTAAGCGCGATATGTGGCAAGATGTTCTAGAATATTAGTGTTTATATTAGGAAGCCAGTTTATTCAAAAATAAACGCACATCTGTAGTGATAGAGTGGCAAACATTATGCTCGTCAAATATCGCTTCACACTCAAATCAGAAAATTTCTGATTTGACTGCCAAACTATTTAATAGTTTGGCAAGTCAGTTACTAATGGTAAGTAAGTAAAACATTGACAATACGTACGATACCTGCATCTTTTGAAAATGTTTTTTGACCACGCCCACTGAACCATTGCCGGTGAAACTATTTTTTAAACTTTTCTCTCTGCCTACCCGGTCTTCGAGCAAAAAACGAAATTTTTCGGGGGGGGGGCCTCTGACCAGCCCCTGGTAAGGAAATGCTGTACGATACCGGAAATAATTAGAAAAACGTGTGTGCTTGATCGATTGGTACTACCGCAACGCCACACTACTTTTTGCAAAAGTTAACTGCGAAGCTGGGAAGAAGCTGCGAAGCTAATTATTGCAGTAGAGACTTACTTAAGACAAAGCGTATAGTATGCGGTTGGTTACGAGAAATTAGGCGGATTTTATTTAGTATACCGTTGAAACCGATGCGTGCTTATGGAAAATATAAGAGAGAGATCCTTCTGTGTACATTGATGCCAATTTTCACACCGCGATTCTTATAGGAAATTGGTCGCCGCGAAATGGATCGTGGAATCTTTATCGATCGATTTCCCAGAATATGAGTCCGTAGGGTTTGAGAAGATCAGAGGATTTGAACACATAGAAGATGCAATTTGCAGCTTCTATACCTTTGGTTTCGGATGCATTGCCGTCTACGACAGCGTCTGGCCGTTGTGCCAGTACTTCCCCTTCGTCGATCATTGGCTAAGCAACACCGGAGGGGCTGACTGGAGATATTGGCGCATTTTCAATTTGGCGGATGCCTTCGATAAAAATGGAACGGTATGCGCGCACGTTTGCAAATCAATAATTTTGCGGGTCACGAAAAACGTAATGGCAAGAACAGCAACAGACATTTAACAACAGAATTGAACGACGGAACAAACAAACAAACGACAGCATTTTTCCTTCCATACATCTTGTTCGTTCAGACTGCATTGTCAATTAACTTTATCTACTACTAGAAAAAATGCACGTTGGCGTGCATTGGCAGACCGGAGCGCAGCAGCTTTTCGCTTGTACGAATGATAATTATTTTTTTAAATATTAGCCAGCATCACGCATTAATTCTGCAGATGTTTAACTAGAAGAAATTCTTTTAGAGATTCTATCAAGAGCCCGCAATGTTGTCATACTGGGTGGATCTGCAGTCGGCAGAACTGCGTGCGATGCATTCCTTTAGTTCCGATCTCCTGGCCAGGTTCACACCGTTCTTCTCACCCGCCTTTGGCTGGATGTTCCTGGTGTGGTGCGCAGTGCTGACTATCGCCAGCGGCGTGCATTATGTCATCCTTGCTCTCATCATCTTGTTCGCCGGTGGATTACTCGTCCATGGAGGCGCCAGTTTCTGCTGTGACGTATGGCGTAAGCTTGCTTCAGTCAAGCGTTGTGTGGAAGCCGGGGACAGGTAATTTTAGCCTAACAAATAACTCGCTAAACCCAAATTATTGGTAATGTCACCCGAATAAAATACCTGCCAGGGCTAGCACGCTACAGACTACTGGAAAGTTGACTTAGGTCCGAACCAAAACTCCCAATTTTGCAACCACTAAAGGATAGCACCATATTCATTTCCCAGAATGGAGTGCTTCTGGTGTGTGGAACATACATCCGATGCGGCTTTCAAACTGTTGTAATTCCAGGGATAAATCGCACGTATTAACTGCCGACGCTGTGGCGCCGGAGATTCCGGATAGCGCGCCGATGGATCGTTTACCAGTACTGGCTAGCGTGGCGCTGGATGGTTCCTGCATTGTGCCATCGCATGAATCGCAGGGAGGAGTCATTGACAGTCAAGTAATCCCGGCAGTCAAGGAGGAATCCGATGCGCAAGGGTCTGTCTTATGCGCATCCAAGGCTCCTGTACCGGCCGATGCCGAGAAGGTGGAGCACTTCTGCGCATGTCTGATCGTATTCCGCAACGCTTGGCTGTTCATACTGGCCGCCCATTGCCCGTTGGTCTGCGGCGTATGGCTGCCGTATTCCTTGGTGGGTCTGTTCCTGCCCGAACGTCTGCAGCTGCCTGGCCTCCTGCTGCTGCTAACGGCCTACGTCGTTTGCATGTACGGCTTCTCGGTTAAGTTTGTGCGGCAGATGCAATGCGGGATGCGATCCATGTGTTTTGTGGATGACAACGGCCATCGTCTTGGCTGCAAATGCATTGACCGTACTGCGATTATCTGTCCCGAGCGCCCAGCGGAATCGTACCCCACGAAATAATTTTGTTTGGTTGCACCTGCTCATTTGCATTAGTATCTTCAGCATCGGGCACGAATCACGATTATTCAGCAGCGGCACAGTAAAGGTTAGATATTTCGTTTGGAAGGTGCACAAATCGTACATATCTATTCTAAAATTAATGTGCCCGATGCCGTCTGACTCCGTATGTACTACGCGCCCGACGATAACAGGAAAAGAAGCGGAATTATGCATACTTCGAGAAACTTCATTTCCGGCACCCCTTTAACTTTTTTACTATATTCCGCCAGCCGGTACGTGCTGCTGTGGTACAATCACCGCTCTATTTAACCAATAGTTCGAGCGAGTTATCAGCGAACAAGAACGGAAAGTGTATCGGACTCGAATCCGGAATAGTTTCGAGGAAGAACATCGGAAGTTTGGTTGCCACTGTTCAGTGAAAAACACTCTTCATCATTCTCACTTTTCCTCTTCATGCCATAATTAACCCAGATAATTTGCGGACCTCACTGGAAGCCGACCGTTACCCAATTCCGCCCAGCTCGCACTTTCCCATCCATACTCTGTCCTGTCCCTGGCTTCTGACAAGGAGGAGCCAGCAAAATCGTTGCTGTTATAACATGATTTATTTACATCCAATAGCGCACAATTCTAAGCGCATTTTACGCCCATATACTCGCACTGTGTGGAACTTTGTGGCGCAATTAATTAATGCGAAGGACGGAGAATCAGTATTACGTAATTGTAACATTGAACCGCTTGACATTTTATCTAATTCTTTTTTAATTTCCTGTCGTATAGTTACCAAAAAATTGGCTTGGGCTGTACACTAACTTAGCGTCAAAGAAACAAATTGCCGTAACGTTTGCTGCTATCGTTGTTATCTACTACTGTCTTGTAAGGTACTATGGTACACATGTACGAAGTACAACAGCATCAGAAATCACGAGATTCATTAAGTACACCACAGCAGCATACCTCAATTTCGAATGAAGAAAAAAGGAAATAATAATCCTGTTCTTCTGGCAACACTTTTCTGACTAGCTGTTGGGAATTAGGAGTGCTTCGAATGTTAATTTTTAAGGTACACATTAGCTGGCTTTTTTAAATAGTGTGCACTACTTCTATGTCTTTTTCAAACAGCCGCCGCATCACGCATGGTACAAAGAAATATACTATATATCTTACTTAATACGTGTCTGTAGGAGACAACATACGCCACAGTGTCGTACGACGCCGATCATTTGTTCGAGGTTATTTTGATTCAACACATAGCACAAATTTCGTTTCATTAATTTCATTCACTTTACACTGCTTGAATCAGAATGCAAAGTCACATGGATGGTAGTTTCATTGGTCAACTTTGTGAATCCTTAAATTATGCTTTTAGAATATTCTGATGATAGCGGTTCCGGTATTCTACCGAGAGCCTATGCCCTCGATCCATGCAGCAGTCGACCACCAATGCAACTGCTGTTTACGCGAAGTTGCCGGCAGGTTTTTCGACATAATGGACTAATAAATTTTTTTGAATGCGATGCGAAACTCATATACGTCTATAGTGATGTTGTCTTTGTACGAGCGACCGATTTCACATATTCTGTGACTGCAGTGTATCCTGTGACTTTCCTTAACCCTCAAAGGCCGTAAATCGTAAAACTGATATATCGCAAACAGAAACGCATTGTATACAGCGCACAAGCTAACGTTTTACGTGTTTTCTCATGGTATGCTATGCTGACACCTGCAACATACTTCCACCATTTTTTTTAAATTTTAAAAGTTAATGGTTAATGAAAAAAGCTGATGCATCCAGATGATGCACGTTTTGCCGGGAATAAGTCAATGCAAAGACGCCCAGCAGCCTGCCTGTATCTCTTTTGCATCTATTCTTCTTTCATTAGCTAGAGACGCTTAACAGGCGCCTTATTTGGGCCTGGAGATTAAGAAGTGAAATGATTTTGAAGAAAATTGAATAACATATCCTGAAAATTCCCGGACACAGTTAATTTATTCGAATACAGTGATTTAAGATAGACAAACGGAAACGTGATATTACGCTGGCAAGTTGTTCTTGCTTTTTAATAGAAATGATTATACTTCGACCAGTGCCTTATATGGGCTCCCTATACAGTACATGCCCATATTGCCCGGGAGCCCAGATAAGGGAGAGTAAGCTAAGGGGAGCCCATATAAAGCATTGGTCGAAGTATGATTTTTTATTGAAGGAATTATATTTTATGTAACGCCGCACCTCTTCACCGTATTTACTGCTACCAGGACATGCAACTGGTATGTCCTTACAAATATGGCGTATGAAACGTAAGAACGGACCCCAAATATGTTGCACATTTCAACTACAAAAACAGTAAGTGGTTGAACTGAAAACCAATGAAACACTGCGGCGGTACACACCGTTAGCGATGTTATTTCCGGTAGCTTTCATCTGAAGTTGCACAATGAGTGTCATTGACCAGACACGAACAATCCCACAGACCTGTTGCATGTACAAAACTACAAATAGTCAGTGGGAAGCTGTCGAGGCGTCCTGGGAAGCCCCGTGGGGATTGAGTCTTTGGTAACCCCATGTGGTTGTGGAGAAAATTGCGCGCTGATTCCGGGTCGGCTGCTGTAGAGTGTTGTTTCTCATGTTTCCCTGTACCTGCGTTAATGGAATTTGGCTACGATAGTACTTAATTAAACTAAAAAAATTTATAAAATTTTCTAAATTAACCAAAAAATTTTCCTATAGCCTAGTAAGATGTCTCCGTTAATGGCGTTTTCTACTGTAGTAATCAAATCAAATGAGTCATAATCGTTAAATTACTCAAAGTAAACGCAAAGTACCGTAACCGCTTAAATTGCGAGAAAATCGACGTACAGAAAATAATGTATATCTGGGAATGCTAATTATTACATTCGTAAAGTGCTATTCAATGGCGGATTCTCAGGCTCTTCAAAAATTCGAAGCCATTTTCCAACCGGCTGTTTATGGGAAAGATTTTTCGAAAGATTCTGAGTATAACGAGGTCAAAGGGTCGTCCTGCAATGAACGTATGAACGAAGATGGCTGTCGGATTTCCAGTAGCACGAAGCCAGTGCTTGATGATAACGTGCTGCGTGCCCGGCTGCAAACGTGTGTAACTGCACTGGCAAGAACTCGGTAATGTAATAAATATGTTTCAAATGTCAAATGGCCACCAACGAGTCCGCTACGGATACCGTTGGATAGTAACGATCCACTTCGTAGTCATTCCACCACTAGATGGACGGCTCCACTTCTTCCCTGGACACCGATCAAAGTTCATCGCCCAGATGCGCAGTAGCTTCAACAAAAGTTGCCGTATGCACTTGATCATGTCATACCAGTTCTTCATCAGCCACAGGCGCTGCCTGACGGTAGACAGTTCCTTCTGGAGGAATGTTTTCCAGTGCGAAAACACTTCGTGGACACTTTAACCGAAAGCGTCATTTGGCCAGCGGATGCGTTCCATGGGGACGAATTCCGTACACTCTCCTCCGCTGTTGTGACGACGCCTATGGACCACGGCTCCTCGTTGCACTCCACCGCCTCCAAAAACCATCGTTGGATAAGTTAGCCAGAACCAGGAACCTAGCGGCATTTCCGGCACTAAAACGTCGACGGAAACGGTGGAAAATTCCTTAGAGTATGTGCGACTTCGTTCGTCTTGCGAGGCCAGGTCAGCTTCGTTCGTCTTGCGAGACAATGTCGGGTCGAATGGAACATACTCACGCCGCTAGAGTCCCATTTTGTATCGGCCTGCAAATCTTGCATGTAGTAGCACATTAGTATGAATATTATTCTTACACTGAATCACAGCTCTAACTCAATACTTTCCAAGTTTAAATGAATTTCAAAAGTCTGAATTTTCGAAATTAATATCAATTAATTAAAATGAATTTTAAAAAATACCAATTATTTATTTTAGAATTTGAAAGTAATGCTTGAGCCGTTCTACCGGTATAGACCGGTACGTTATGAAACTTTTGTTGCTGGAACACTTGAATGCGTTTATGCACTGTTAGAATTTTCTTGCAGCCAGAACTTCTCAACCGGATGGTTCGCGCAAAAACGGTTTCCACGCCATTGCATTACAAATCATTCGCCTCCACAAAATAATGGATCTACAAATCAGGTGTAAATGCTTATCTTCTTTTTGCGTGATAGTCTGTTGTCTATAGACTGTAGTTGCTTACGTAATAATGTTTCAAAGCAAGGCGCTGCGGTGCAAGTCACTGCAAGGAACGTGAGCGAAATTTAAAGCTGTTTTCTTCGAAAAACGTAATGTTTACCTTACCAACATACATTCATGTTCATTCGGCAGTATTTCACGCAAATTATGAAAAGTCAAGAAGTACCAGATAACAGCATGACTTTCTAACGGTCCTTTCCTTAATGTTTCATTAACATCTCGCCTAATGCAATCGCTGCTCCAGGCTCAGTCAGATCTTGACGGATGAAAGGTTGGATGGTCTTGTAGAACTTCACCATGATCGCGACAGTTCTTGAGAAATTTAAACAAAACTGGTGAGCGCAGTTCGAAAAAAATAAATCCATTGGTTAAAGTGAAAAACTTCAAGGTCTAATCAAGAGAAGCAACAGGTTCCTGCGTTCTCAAGAATAAGCTAGAAACTAAAATAAGAATTGTTTGAGCAGTTCAAAGTGATGAAATCACTAAATAAGATGAAAAACTTTGGGGTCTAATCTGGAAAAGCGAGGTTTGCGCGACTCCTGCGTTTTCGATAAATTCCGGTATTCGACCGAGAGGCTAGGCTGTCTATGCCATCGATCCTAGCGGCAGTCGAGCGGCAACGCAACTGCTGGAATGTACGAGTTTTCGCTCTCCATAATATAAAATCCTGCCTGATTGATGCACTGGTACTCGTACAACACGAGCAACTCGTAAGCAAAAGTGCTGGAAGACGGTATCTTCCTCCTCTTGACTGCAATCACCGAACACGTGAAATCAGTCGCTTGTATGTGGCCGGCATAACATTAA